GTCAGACAACTCACCACCGCTCCTAATTCCTTCCTGCCCTAGAGGTCGTCTTACCCCGCACCCTTTGGGACACCTAAGGGTGCAGAAGACGAAAAGGCCCCCAGGCCTGTTGTGCGCTCGCCAAAGGGTTACCTCCCCTTAGCGCGCGCCTCAGCCAACGCCTGAGCGTCGGATGCAACCCCATGACTCAGGATAGGCCATTTGGGTATGGCACCGCATAATGCGCCGTCATCACAGATACTCACGTAGAGCTACATAATGAATTGGTGTGTGCGGGTACTGCGCCTGCGCGACCTTTATACTAAGTCCATGCGCGCAGCACTCGCCGATTCTCGCACTAAAAGTTATGGGTCATGCGGCGAGACCAAAAGCGCGGTGTGGCCGATAGACTTGGGGGGAGGTCGGTATCGCGAAGCGACACTTGGGCGGAGGACTAGTCCCAGTGGACCTATGGGAGTCTGTGTACGGGCCTCACTATCCCGGACATCGGATAGCCTACGGGTAGGACTTTGGGCCTCCTCCGCATTCGTGCTCTTTGGGCTTGCCTACCCCTTTCATTCTAAGAGGCCACTAAACTAATGAGAGCTGGAGTGAGTTTCCTTTTGAATTTTCATGGTTGGACGTTATAGTTCGTGGCAGCCGTCAAAGTCAAACCCCTTGATACTTGACCTCCACGACAACTTAAAAGCTGTCTACTCAACCCCTCTGCGCAGGGTGTAGAAGAAGGTGTGGTCTTCAACCACACATGGCGGTTGTCTGACGTCGAGAGGTTACCCCTCAAAAGCGCCTGTCAACCGACACTTGAGTGTCGAACGCGACCCCCGAGATTATCAAGGGCCGCGAGGCTACGAGTACCACATAGTACCCCATCAGCGTGAACGATTGCGGGTGTCCGCATGGCTGGTTGACATAAGAAAGCCACACGTTTGCTCGACTCTTATATGGAAGTCCGGCGCGCGATACTTACCCGATTCTCGTCGCCTAAAGTTATGGGTCGGATACTGAAGGGACTAAGAGTTGTTGCGTCGTGGCGTTGTGTGTGGTGTTTGTTTGTGTGTGTTCCATGTGTTATAAGTGGTAGGTGTAAGTGTTGTGGTGTAACGCGTGGTGTGTGTAGTACGTCCTAGTCGACCGGCGTCGAGTCGTGTTTGGGACTTCAGCCCCCCAGTACGGCGACTCGCGTACGGGTTCGATTCTTGGGCGTTCGACCACGCGTAACCCCCTATGCTACAGCGAACGAGAAACGCCCTCGGCTGGGCCACCTCTGCAATTGCATACGAAAGCTTTCGCATGTGGATCAGTAGCTCGGCAGGGCTACGCCCACCTAAGGGATGGTGACAGCTCCCGCAGGTGGAGGTGGGCGGTGCCTCGCGTGACTCTGTCATGTCGTAGGGGCTTGCGAGAGGTACGACTGGCGCACTCGGCCGGAGCGGCAAACGCTCTCCGCGACAAGTCCTGCCAAATCCTGCGTGACGCGGCCGGGAGGGTCCCCGTGCGGGACCGATGCGCTCGACAGGTGGCGCCGTTGCCGGGGATCTCGGCTGCCTACCGGGGTCCTAAAGAGAACGAACCCAGGTTAAGTGCAGGCTGATGATCCAAGCAAAACGAGAAAGGTTATAGGTTGGACTGACTTATATAAGAAGGTTGTATATGAAGTTATAATAAGACTGAGCGATATATAGTGCGATTAAAGGTTGTATCTTGGGCGTGAATGACTAATGGTAGAGCGGTCAACTAAACCTAGAAGTAGAGTGGTCAAGAATGATGTAGGGCAAGCCCTTTGGAACTTGACGAACTGCTTACCAGTCTATCCTTTGTTACTCCTGTTAGGTTGGTTAGCAAAAGGAGGTAAAGATACCGGATGCAGAAGGAATCGAGCGGGGCCCGGCAGCTACGCCAGCGGACTTCGTCAAGGCCCTTGAAAAAAAGGAGTTGGCACGGCTACAGGTACCAAAGGTTGACATCTTCCATTTTAAAGGGGAGAGGGTGTCGAAATGGCGGGAGCTCCTGGAACAGGTTACAACCGAGGTGCCTGAGGTAGATAAGTTTAAGTTCCTACCTCGATATATCTGGTGGGAAACCCGACCCGAAGTAATGAAAGTAGCTGCTGAAGCAGGGGGAGACTGGGCAAAGTTCAAGGCTGAGATGCAAAGACAATTCAAGTTAGGGGATGGCTTGCTGACTAAGACAGACTTGGAGATGCTACAACGGGATGAATTCTCCACAGTAGAGGCCGTCGGCACAACATTCGAGAAGATGGCAAAGAAAGTCCCAGGGTTGGCAGAAGAGGAACAATGAGCCACTTTCCGGGGGCACTTTAAGAATTGGGAGGCCTCGTCATTGACCAAGAAGGCTGCACCAGGTAAGAAACTGACTTGGGCGGCCATAAAGGAAGGCGTGATAGAAGGAGAACTGGACCAAGTAGACATTTTTCAGATGAGACAAGCCAGAAAGAAGAGGAAGGCTTTGGATGCCACCACTAGTGATGGACACGATTTCAAGAAACTGGTAGAGGATGTGGTGGCCCAGCTCGACGCAGAGAAGGATGCGAAAAGAAAGACTATGGCGGCGCCACAGACCCAAGGGAAGGCCAAGAAGGCAGTGGTGCAGGAGGAAGAGGAAGAGGAAGAGGAAGAGGAGCTGGAGCCACATAAGTTGATAAAGGCTCAGAGGAAGGCAAGGAACTTGGCTCAGAGGGGGCAAGGCTCAGGGAGGGGTCAGGTCCCGCAAGCTGTAGCCATGCCACCTCCTGAGCCGCCCAGTCAGGCTGCACCAACACACTATGGGCCATGGCCAGGTTGCGGACCTTCAAGTCATTGGCATGGGCTTTGTTCGTACGCCCTATGGCCAATGAGTGGACCGCATGGGTCATGTGCCGGACCATCAATGAGCACGGCTTCCTGCGGCTGCTCGGGACCCCAAGCTCCGCAAGTAAGCCACCCAAACCCACCGCCAACTCTACCTCAGTAGGCAGCCCCACAAGGTTTACAAGACAATCAAGGTAATGGGCGTGGACAAAACCAAGGATGAGGCCGAGGACGAGGAAATGGTGGTCGAGGAGGAAACGACAGAGGGAATGATGCAGGTAATGCTACAGGCGGGGGAAACGGAGACTGGACTGCCTCCGAAAGCCAGGTTGGTCAAGAAGGTGGAAGAGGTGCTAGCAGAGGTAGAATGGACTGGAGGAATGCTATTTGTTGGCACTGCGGGCAGAAAGGCCACACTATCAAGTTTTGCCATGTAAGGAGGAATGATGAGGACGAAGGATTAATCAACACCAATTATGATGGGGATATGTACGACAAGTGGGTGTACCACCTTGATCCAAAGACCCCAGGCGGGACAAGGAAGGAGGCCCTACGACGAGCCGAGGCAGGTGAACCACCCGCCCCTCCAGCCATGTTTCGGATATGGCAGGAGGAAGAGGTCCGTAGTGACATCAGGGTGGAAGAGGTAGGAGAGAACGAGGGGGTAGAGCAAGAAAGGAAAGCCGACACTATCAAGGAAGAACCAATCATAGTAGAGTCCGATGATGAGATGAAAGAAGACTGCTGAAACAGGCTACGACACGTTGAGATAGGGGAGGATTACTAGAGGACGGCCCGACAGACAATGGAGAGAATGGAGGACCTGATAGACAAAGACGGGCGGTACCAACAGAAGCTGATTGATATGTGTGAAAAAGTCAAGGAGTGGAAAGGTAAGGAACCACTAGTATACCTCTACGACCTAGGTCCAGGGTCGCAAGGAGGATCTGGTAACCTGCCAAACGTCACGACTTCGGGGCCGGCGCCAAGATCTGAAATGACCTATAGACCACCCTCCAGGACGGGGAGGGCACCACATGCTGTCAGGACCAGGGCTAAAGGGCCGGTGAGCCCCGAAGAACCGGCGAAGGATGTTCCCGAGCCGAGTGGAGAGAAGGAGGTAGTGGACGTTCCAAAAGAGCAGGATGATGAAGATGATAGGTTAAGAAAAGAAGAGGATGAGAAGGCCGAGCAGAGGGCCAAGAAGAGAGGTGTCAAGCCGGATACGGACAAGGCACAGGAAGTGAAGAAGAAGAAGAAGTACGCCGTTCGAGTAGAAGAGGGGTACGATGTAGAGGAAATAATGGACAAAATCCTTGAGGGTCATAATCACCTTATGAACGTGAAGGACGTACTAGCCTCAGCGCTTAGGCTCAGGGATGAGCTAAGGGCGCGACTATCCAGGAAGATGGTGGCCAGTGTGCAACTAGGGACTATAATCCCTAAGGAGGCTGAGTGGGCTGAAACGGGTACTAAGATGGACTGGAAGTCTGTTGCCTGTGACTGCCTCGACGTTGTGGTAAAAGGGAAGACATGCACCGTAATGGTGGACAGTGGAGCGGAAATGAACATCATAAAGGAGGAACATGCCGTACGACTGGGAGTGGAGATAGACCGCTCTGACAACGGGGTTTTGATGGGGGCCAATAGCCGATCGATATTCATTGGGACCACGTCGTCAGTGATATTGGAAATTGGAAAGGTGAAAGTAAGGAGATGCTTCTTTGTGATGCCTGACTTGGACCACCCTATTCTACTTGGGAGATCGTTCCTAAGTCGGACAGAGACGGTCATCCTCAACAAACATGATGGAACTATGTTCCTCGTCCTGTGCGACCCCGTATGCGGAACTACGAGGTCATCACTTGTAAGAACACAGGGCCCAAGAGCGTAAGGAACCGGCCCAACCCCGGTTCATTCACGATTGAAGAGTCAGAAGAAGAAAGGCTAAGGATTGAGAACAGCAGGTTCGAGGAGGTGAGAGAGCCAGAGGCGCTGACTCTAAGCTTGGCAAACATAGGTGACGTCATGGACATCGTATCAACCTATGGGATGGTGGACCCAGAGGCTGTGGAGGCCTTGAGAGAGAAGGTAGTGGAGCAAATGGGTGCAGGGGAGATGAAACTGGTATATCGAACGCCTGGGAGGACAGGTGAAACAAGTGGAGCGCAGCCCCAAAGCGCAACTCGGCCTTTTTTAGGGGTGGGCTCAAGCAGGGTGCACAAAGGCGGTACAAAATGGTAGATCAAAAGTGTCGCCCTGTCCCTGTGCTCGTTACTGAAGAACAAGAAGTATATTATGAGCGGGAACGAGAGTTGATACGGCAGATGAGAGAAAAAACGGAGAATGGGCCGTGCCGTATCAGTCCTGAGACAGAAAAGACGCTGATTATAGGAGAGTCTGGCTTCCTTACAGCGCATGAGGAAAAGCTTGTGGTGGAAACCATAAGAGGAAGGCATGCGACATATGCCTTCAGTGATGATGAGAGGGGCCGACTGGACGTGGACATTATCCCCATGATTAAGATACACACCGTACCTCACGAGCCATGAAACTTGCGAGGTGCGCGGTATCCGAATCCAGCTGATGAGGAGAAGGTAGTCAACTACCTTGATGGGAAGATCCGCACTCATGTGGCAGACTACTCGAGTGGGCTGTATGCATCCCCCTGGTTTTGCTTTGTCAAACCCAATGGGACCTTGAGGTGGGTACAAGATCTGCAACGCCTGAACGCTGTGACAGTGAGAGACGCGGGTGGCCTCCCCAACGCTGATGCGTTTTCAGAGGCATGCGCCGGGAGGGCCATTATATCACTCATTGACTTGTATTCAGGCTATGACCAGTTTCCTGTGTACCCATCAGAAGGGTGGATGAATGTGGTCGCCATGGTCCAGCGGCACATGGTGAGGGCGATGCAGCCCATAAGTCCTCACATCACGCAACCCTACATTGACGATCTGGCCATGAAAGGGCCCAAAGAGAAGGATGAGCAGGAGGTAATGCTTGGAATCAGGCGCTTTGTCTGGGATCATGTGCAAAACTTGTGCAAGGTCCTGGATCTTCTGAAGGAGCATAACCTCACTGCCAGTGGACCGAAGTCAAGGCACTATATGAGCGGAGCTACCATTTTGGGGTTTGTGTGCGACGAGAGGGGTCGTCGGCCAGACACTAAGAAGACTAACAAGATTCTCGAATGGCCAACACCGTTCCAGACTATCACGGAAGTGAGGAGTTTCCTGGAAACGTTGGAGGATCTTTATTAAGGGGTTCGCGGTGAAGACAGAGCAACTGCAGAAGCTTGTACGTCAGGGTCAAGACTGGGAATGGGGAGACCAGCAAGAGTCTGTGATAAAAGGTCTGAAGAAAGAATTTGAAGAAGGAGGGTTAGTACTGAGAGTACCAGACCATGCGGCGGTGATGACCAGGCCCTTTATTGTCGAAACGGGTGCAGGGCCAACTGCTCTGGGAGGAGTGTTGATCCAGCGAGACCCCAACGGAGAAGAGCGTCCATTAAGGTTCGAGAGTCGGACGCTTAATACGTCTGAGAGGAACTACTCTCAGTTCAAGCGCGAAACCTTGACAGTTCTTCACTGTTTGAGGATCTTCAGAAACTACCTCTTCGGCAACAGGTTAGTATTAAGGGTGGGCGCTACGACATAAGCTGGTTCCCTCAAGAACTTCGCTCCTTCAGATCCAACTATCGCCAAGAGGCTGACGTACATCTAGATATTCGACTTCGAGTTGGAGCGCATTCCAGGGAATAAGAATAGGGCGGACGGGCTGAGCCGAGTCGACTGGGACAAGAACAATCAAGGAGTGATCGAGGATGCTCCACCAGTCGACGGGTTCTTGGACAACGAGGAGGATGTGAGACTTCACATCAACTCCTGGGCATTGGCCGTAGGTAAGTGTGTTACTCCCGGACGACCTGTATGGCTTGCGCCTCCAGGACATGCACGACGGTCAGACTTGGTCCTCAAACCGTATATTGAAGAAGATTCTAAGGGAATGTCGGACGTAGATTGGATGATGGAGTTGGCCTTGGCAGGCAAGTACCAACTGCATGAGGACTCACTTACGATTGAGGATGAGGTGCTGCAGGTAGGCAAGCAGGAGAAGACGATAGGTGGGGTATATCTGCTGGCAAATGCGCTGCTTCAGGAGGAGGCAGTCAGGAATACGGTGCTAGACCAGGAAGAGGTGGTAGAGCCAGGAGAAGGCGACAATGTGATCCATGAGAGGGGAGACGACGATTTTGAGGAAGTAGAGATCAAGGAAGCATTTCAAGCAGAGGAATATGAGGGAGTATACCTTGAACTCGGCATGCTTCTTTCGTGTGAGATGAGGGAAAGGGATGCTTGCGCAAGAGTTCTGAAGATGAGGCCAAGTTTCCTGGTGAGGGATGACCATCTGTTCATGAGGAGCAAAGGAAGGGATCCAGGAGAGTAGTTTGCGGCGTCGCTCGCCAGATTGACATTATGGCGGCACTGCACGACAGTACGGTCGGGGGCCACAGGTGCGCGGATACGACGTATCTGAAGATCCATGAGTTGTACCATTGGGATCGCATGAGGCAGATGGTCGACGACTACTATAAGTCTTGTGTACCATGCCAAGAACGGTCTGCTCTAAGACCTAGAGAGCTGCTCCACCCAAGGTATGTTCGTGAGGTTGGAGCCGTCGTACACTTGGACCTGTTGACAATGTCGTTGGGAATAGGGAGCTACAACTTCATCTTTAATGCGCGGGACAACCTCTCTGGGTTTGTGGATGGCAGGTCCATTCGCACGAAGACTGGCGAGATGCTGGCTTGGTGCATTGAAGAGTATTATCTTCGCTATCCCTTTGTTTCCAGGTTTGTGATGGATAGGGGGTCTGAATTCACATGTGCGGAAGTAAAGGCTCTATTGAAGAAGTATGGGGTCATCGCTGAGTACACTACTGCAGCACACCCCCAGGCCAATGCACCTGTGGAGAGAGGACACAACACCATCACGAACCTTCTTGCTAAATGGACCGATGGCAGGCCCAACCAGTGGCCGAACTTCCTAATGGTCGCTTTCTTCGTGGACAACATCACCGTCAGAAGGAGCACCGACTACGCGCCGGCTACGCTATGGTATGACCGACATACCACGTTTCCTATCGAGAGCTTCCTGAAGACCTGGAGGCGACAGGACCTCGAGACGGATTTGACCTTTGAGGAACTGCTGGATTTGAGAGCACGTCAGATCGGCGCTATTGAGGACAGGATTGAGGAAGCAGCAAGTAGGACAGCCGATAGCCGTACCAAGGACAAGTTCCGATGGGATAAGATGACGTGAGTGAGAAAAGAACCCCTCAAGGTGGGAGACGTTGTGCTGTTGTATGACTCGTCCCTGGAGAAGCAGTGGTCCCGGAAGCTAGACAAGAGGTGGTTGGGACCGTACAGGGTCACCAGATGTGGTGAACATGGTGCCTACCAAATCGAAGAGCTGAATGGGACAACATGGAAGGACTGGGTGTCGGGCTCAAGGCTGAAGAAGTTTGTTGCTCGAGACGAGGTGAGCGGGGATCTCATCACTTAGAGTCATCTCTTGATTACTTCGGATATTGCTCTCAGTAAAGTAGCGTGATAGGTTGTGATTAGACTCGCGTCTGTGTATGGATATATATGCATATGTATGGATAAGTAAGTAGTTAGGGTAGTTATGGGAGGGCTACGTCTGTCTCCTGTTGTGTTTTGTCTGACATCGCTTACTCTCTGTGTGCTTTTGTTCGTCTCTTTCCTGTTGTGCAGGCTTGACACCGCTCAGGGCAGCTATGCCAAGAGGGAGGGGAGGGGCAGAGCCAGTGGAAACCCCCTTGGGGGCAACCCGACAGAGGGCGAAAATGGGGACCAGGAGAGAGGACAGGCCTCCAGTCTTCCAGGGAGGGAACATTGAGTTGTTCCTGATGGAGTTCGAAAGGCATGCTCGAGAGTTCGGATGGGACGGCACCAGGATGTTGAGGGAGGTGCGAGGCATAGGCGAGTGGGCAGACCCTATTGTGAAGATGGTCAGAGAGTCGTTAACCTGGCAGGATTTTCAGCGGAGAATGGAGGGTTTGCATCCGTCACCACTGGGAAGGGATGGACAGCCCATTCATTTCGACTCCACTAACCTGGGGGAGTTCCTATGGGCCTATGATCGGTATGCAGATGAGCTCGATATCCCAGGAGAGCAGAGGGTGGGGAGCTTCCTTCTGTTCGTGAGGCACCATATCAGGCCCTTCGTTCGATCTATCGTGGCATCTGCCAAGAACTGGGGGCACTGCAAGAAGCTGTTGTGGAACTATTATACTCCAGCTCGTCAGGCAGATGAGAGAAGAGGTATGAAAAATAGAAGAAGGGAATCAGAGGCAGAGGAAAGGGCGACATTTGAACAGGGCGCATCATCAGGGACTCAGAGGGGGGAGAGGAGGAAGGAGCACAAGTCCCACCGGCATGAGAGAGCGGGAGGGTCCAGTGGTCCAGGTGTGCCTCCGCAACCGACTCAGAGGGAGATGGATTGTCTTATGCCTGACGCAGAACCAGACATTCCTCACGAGCCACATGCGCAAGAGCTGAAGGAGGAACAGTCTTCACAGGAGAAGGAGCTGGACAGGCAGGAAAGAGCGGCAAGGGAACAGAAGATCAGGACTCAGCTCCAAATGAAGAACCTGGCAGAGCTGCATGAGAGGGTGCAGCAAGGGAAAGAGCCTGAGGAGGTGGAGGATAGAAAGGGTAAAGGTACTTGCACTCAGGAAGAGGACCCTCCTCTGTTTTCAGAGGTCTGGATGAGTTTCGACAAGTTAATGGATGTTGCAGGAAGGACAGGAGGACACCATCAGGAGATGGGGGTTAAGTTGGTCTCGACAGACCTGCTCAACCTAAGGGGCGTAATGAAGGAAGGCTTCACTGCAGCCAAGGCATCAGATCAGAAGATTGGGGACAGACTGACGAAGGTGGCACAGAAGGCCTATGGCCAGAAAGTGGATTGGGAGAGAGAAGTTGAGGACCTGAAGAAGGAGCTGGGAAGGCAAGGTAAAAAGTTGGAAGCAGTAAAGGTGGAGACGGAGAAAGTTTGGGATGAGAATGAGATCATCAGGCAAGTCAATCAGACCCTCAACAGGGTCACTGACGCTCTGAGGGCCTACCTATGCGCTCAACAAATCTCCTTTCACGCGAAAGAGGCGAAGTGGGAGAAGAGGATTCAAGACCTCGAGGCCAAGTATGCACAGCAGACTCCCATGAGAGTGGTGGATTGGACAGAGATCCAAAGGTTTGAAGGGTGAGGAGATCTCTCTGATCGACAAAGAGATGTTGGAACAATCAGGAGCGCTAGCGAAGAAGGGCATAGAGGCCGGAGAGTTTTAGTGGAGATTGCCAGCTGGCCTGACGCTTGGACACGAGTCAACACTACAGGGGGAGGGACCGCCTACTTAGGCAATGGGAGTCGAGGAGGTTCCACCTACCACTCCGGGAGAGACTGTGGGACAGCAGGAGGGTCAGGGGAGCGTGGGCCAGACCATGGTGGAGGTTGAGTCAAGGAGGGGTCTGACGGCCTGTCAGGAATCAGCGATGCTACAGGGGATGCCTCTTGTTGCAGATCTGCGGGATGCATTGGGATCCTGGGCCACTGACTCTGGGCCAGAGGAGCGAGTTGATCTTCACAAGAAGGGGATAAGATGAACCAGAAGAAGGTTGGAAGATGCTTTTACTGCAAGAAAGCCAGACACCTGTAGGAAGCGTGTCCCAAGAGCCTCAAGGATGAGGCAAAGAGTTTGTTTACTTGGGATTCCCCTGGGGTGCGAAAGGATAGAAATGGGAACCTGATCTTAAAGACTCGAGGTGGGATTCGGGCGCAGTTGTATAGGCAGCTGCAGGAGAGCATGAGTGATCAGGAGTAGGTTTTGTTAATAAGGTCCGGAAAGATCTAAGTCTAAAATATGCGAGACATCTCTGACTCTCGGACTGATGGTTACTTGTATATAGAGGGATACATGGAGGATTGGATCAGACCCATGTGTATCAGCAAGTTGAGCCAGTAGTGAGATATCACCTTCGCAATATAGACTTATAATCCTTCTTGTACATAAGATAACATTGGATATGATTGTGACTATTGTTATCTTTTTTTGCTAGTGTGATGTAAAGTGGTAGTATCCTTGTAAAATAACACTCAGGAGGGTGGAGCAGCTGTCGAGTTTTGATACTTCGACACTTAGTCACTTGGATTCTTTGTTGGATACCTGAACTCTTTGTATAATACTTTGATTTTTGTAATGGGGAGTGGAGCCTTTGCGCATTGCAGAGCCCTATATCCTGTATATGCGAGTCTCAACCCTTGTATTTGTGTCGTGTGTGTTGTGTCACACTCATTCTCAGTTTGTGCATTTGCCCATATGGATGATGGTGTGATGAAATTGATATTATGGAATGAGCTGATCTGCGCTTTCTTCCACTGTACTTACGCATCCCTGTCTTAGTGACAAGAGGAGCCCAAAGTATGATGAGAGAAGGTGCTCTCATATTTTTGAGGGAAAGATGACATGATGTATTTGGCACAGATGGAATGATGATGAATGGAGAGATCACAACCAAAGTTGTGTTTCTTGTGTATGGTTCAAAAAAGAGAGAAGGAAGTCCAACGGCCGATTGGGCTTTCTAAAAAGGATGAAATTTTGTGAGAGCACTCAAAAGAGTTGCTATAGTGATTATGAATTTTTGCATGTATGTAAAGTCTGATAAGGAAAGACCAGATATTTGGTGAGAATTATGGATGAAAACTTCTGGCAATTATGTTGGAACTTTGGAAAGTATTGTAAGTATCCCTGAAAGACGTGTGACCTTACCTGCTTTTGATCAAAGTAAGGGAGGCACGACCCTGTGGAATTACTAAGGATTTTGATGGAGTGTTGAGAAAGGCACTATCCCTCCACGTAGTCCCGTGGGCAGTGGTGTGTGACCCTTTGTTATTCTGAAGATTTTTGGAAGAAAGTGTCAGACCACAGTGGAATCAGTCTGAGGGATGTATTGTGAGGCCAAGCTAAGGGGCTATACCTAGCACGCTGGAACTGTAAAACCTAACTCCCAGCGAGGGTCGCTGACCGGCACAACCTGGCAACGGGACTATGGCTTACCAAAGGTTAATTCTTGAAGGGTCGGTCACTCGAGAGACCTAGCTAGTGGGAAGGTCATTGGGGTTGATTAGGTCAAGAGTCAGGACCCTTTCGGGTGCCAAGATAGGAAAAGTTGTTTATCGTTGCATAACCAACGAGGGCACCATTGCTATATAACAACGCGATGGGCCGTGGATTCGGCGTGATCGACCGGTCCATGGTGGACCAAGATGGAGACTTGAAGCCAACCGTGTTAGACTCCAAGTTGTGCGTTCGATGTGATTTGAGATGGCAGATACTACCATAGGGGTGGCTAAAGGCACCCTGTATTTTGAGAGGTCTCGGTTAGGGCCCGCGTCCTAAGTTATGACCCCGTTCACGGGACGATGACTAAACAGGGCACCCAACGGTGAGCCGGCAGATGTCTACGACGAAGGGAGAGGACTATCAACCTACTACCTGGAAGAGGGTAGGACACTGTAGTACGGAACAAAGTATCCCCTACCTCCGAGGCCAGGACGTGGGAGACCCAGGTTGAAACCCTGCCAGTGGAACGCTGTGACGGGAGCAGATTGATAAGAATACCTCGAACGGAGTCGAGCCGGTGAACCGGATTGGTCGCTTCCTTGTCAGCAAGATGTGTTTGTGATTATAGTGTTGATGGTCCAACGCGACGGGGACGTTGCTTAATAAGGTCCGGAAACCTGTCGGCCCGAACACCCTTACAAGGGTATTTGGGCACACATTGGCAGTTGACAGGAAAAACGCGCCTGATGGTATCTGGGGCGCGTCCCATTTGTGTTGATTAGAGAGTGTGTGAGCGTGCACTTTGCGGGCACGCGCTAGCTTGACCGCACCTTGACCAAGAAAGGCTGGGAGACGCCGGTAGGACAAGTGAGAGTTAGGCTAGATTTTCTGAGGTGGTCGCAGCCTCGCACGCATTGACCAGGTAAGGCAGTGACTAGGTACGGGCGATGTTGCATTGACCAGGTAAGGCAGTGACTAGAAAAGGTGGTTGTCGGACTTGTTGACCGACGGTACAGGGCCGCACCACGTGAAAATTCACAGGCATCTGGTTGACCACGCGCTTCCGACAGTAGAAGTCGTGGCGAGTTTTAGCTAGGACGGCGTGGGCCGGAGGCAAAGGGAGTAGAAGTCGGGGCGTTTTTGGCCCAAAGGTGGTAGAACGGGCAATTTCTCGGTGAATATGAGGGAGTAAGAGAGCCCGGCCATAGCCGCGGCGTGATGAGGCAGCGTGCACGACAAGCCTAGCGGGGCCGTGCCCTCCAAAGTAATACATGGGTGTCTGCGGGCCCTTGGACGCAAGCGGTAAGTTAGAGGAACGGCCTGAGATGCTGTTTGCAGGCCTGGGCAGGCTGCCCTTACTCTTTATGAGTAGGGCTGCGCCTGCTGCAAACCAGGTTGGGGCTTAGCCTTATAGGTTACAACACTGAGTTCCCACTAGGCGGATCCCAGGATCGAGGCCAGGCGCCAGCAGCGGAGCAGCGGAGCAGCGGAGGAACGCCTTGGAGCTAGGCCAAGGGGTTGAGGGTCCCACGGGACTACCCCCCTTGGTTTTTGCTAAGGGGAGTCAGCCGCGGGCCCGTGAGAAATGACCAAGTGCCAGCGGGCCCCTCCCCAACCCCATTTTCCCAAAACCTTTTTCTTTTCTCTTTGTAAGTTTTATTTTTTATTATTATTTGTTTTTCTCAATTTTTGGTTTTTTCCTTTTTTTTTTTTTTTTTCTTTCCATTCGTGAGTACGGTCCAATGGAGGCGCCGGGGTGACCCTGGGGCTAGGCTCTAAGTGGTGGGTGCCGTCCGAGAGGGTGAGGATAGCGCAGGCTGCTGAGAGAGAGATGATGGTATAGGAGGAGGGAGAGGAAGGATTAGAGAAGGAGGAGGATAGCGCAAAAGGACGCAGCACAGGGAGAAGGGAAACAACTGAGACAGTAGAGAAAAAAAAGGGGAAGTGAACCTAGACGCGGATTCATGCCAGGTACGTTCGAAGGAAAAAGGGGAAAACCACGTTGGGGCAGGGAGCTATGGCAGAGAAGGAATAAGCCATTGTAGGCTCATTCCATAACGAAACCTGGCAGGGGGAGGTGGTAGCTGGGGATTTTGAGG